ATGTAATGAATTCCATTACTTAACCACAAATTGATAAATTGACAATCTGTCACTAATAGAAAAAGTCAAGTTTTGAACAAAAATTGCCTTTTTAAATGAATTAGATAAAATTTTGTACTTAACACGTTATGAAACGGGTAATTTTATTTAACGAACGTAATATGTATTTGCCAAATTATGCAAATTATGTGAGAATTAGTCTTTTCATAACTGGTTACGTAAATAACTATTGTTATTAATATTGTACATAATTTACAGTATGCATATTATAGCTGATTGCAGCACGTCCGACGTATTATTTTCATTATATGTGAGGTGAGTGTGATAAGTCGGCTGTGATAACTGTGAATTTAATGGGGAAACTTATAGTGAGGGAGCTTGTAATGGATTGCAGTCTGAACCATAACATTTTGTAGGTTTTGTTGGCAGATTAAGGCCCGGTGTAGGGGCATATTCTTTAACGTTTGTTTATTATCGTCGCTTATACTTTTTAATTGTTTTACAGCCCCGTCTATTGGCATATCTTTGTATCTTTTCCGACTATTCGGCGCACAAAACTGATCAATTCCCTTATTTCTAATACATCCTAATGTATCTCACTTATTTCGAATAAGTCTTAATAGTTAGCAATCAATTTAGTAATGCACTAAGAAGAACTACTTCAAATGAAAGTCCTCAACCACCCAGAAATAATGATATTGAATAAACAGTCTGTTTGTAATTACATTTTATTCCAACTTATTCCGTTTATAATTTGTTTACAAACTCCATAGCTTTTGTGTGAAAACATAAAATCTAAATTTCCGGGTGGCGATTTTAAAAATAGATTTATATGATAGAAAACGTTGAAACCCGTTACATTCAAATGTGTGTAATTCATACGAATGTGGTTTGACTAATTTATAAACACACTCGCACATTTAAATAATCAAAGATTTAACCGAGTCGAAAGGGCCACTCGAGTCCAACACATTTAATACGGAAACACGCACGCGCGCATTTCAAAATTTTCTTGATAGGCCGATGAACGGTTTGAAGGTACGCAACGGTACGCAGTTTTCATCGCGCCTTTACCATAATAGGTTATGCTTGGGGAAAACCGAATAAGCACATCAACGAACGTATATTTTTAACAGTAATTGTGATTTATGTTTAAACCAGTTTTCTTTATTTTTTTTTAAATTTTGTTATTATTATGGTTTTTTTGGGTTGTTTGTGCTATTAAAAGTAATTTTATGGTGATAAGATTGTAGGTGAGTATAGAAGAAAGATGAAAAGGAAATAATGATTGCCATTGTTAACGGTTTCTTTAACCTTCGAACGGGCGCGTGGCACATATTTTATTATAATGGGTTCCCATTAACTGTTTTTAATTTTCGAGCTGTCGCGTCCCTGTTTATAGTAGAGATCACGCGTGGGACTTTTTTTCCAGCAAATAGTACTTTCATAGTAATGTGTTAAGCTGCGATAAGTATTACGTTATTTTTAATAAAATACATATTTTGTACAAAGTTTAATAAATACAAAGTTTAACTTGCCAACTTGCTGGTACTTTCTTATATGAACGATATGAACCATGAGTGACTTCGATTCGCCTGGGGAATTACGCCCCTTCAAAAATGGCGGAAAATTTTGGTTTAATTTGTTTTCCACGAAAACCATAAACACCACGAAAATGAAATTTGGGAAATAAGTTTAGCTCATAATAGGGCATATTTCGACAAATTTCGTTTAGATAGATGAAAATATTCTAAAACTTTTTTGCCCCTCTGCTGTTCCTCGAAAATTCAATAATTTCAAAGAAATTTATTAATTTATTTTATGTATCTATTAATTATTTTAAAACCCGCGGATCACATTTCCCAGCGTCCTACAACGGACGACAGAATCCATTTCTCCTAAGTGCCGAAGAAGAAAAATCCCGTGCCAGAGGAAAACATTTCCCACCAATAAAATTTATTCATCATTTAGCTTGTAAGTGATATTACGACTCTTTTTCTCGTCGATGTTAATTATTAGAAAATTGAACGACTTTTATATTGACTTGTTATATTATTTATATTTTTCGTTAATAATTTGTTTTATAAAAAATACACTAGTCGTAGCCCACTTTTTTAACTAGGATTTAGAATATTTTGGTTGAAAAATTTTATTTTGTAAACACAGAATTATCAATAATCAAGATTGAGGATTTAATTCATTTAATCGAAAATTTAAATATTAAGCCTGAAACCATGCCTTTTACAAGAGCTTCTATAACACAAACAGATCAAAGTTTAAGTCAAATGCGAATGTTAAAACGACCTAGACATGAAATGAATAACATTGAATACGATAACGATATTTTAATTAGCGGTAAATATTATCAATTTTTAAATTTTGATGAAATAAATGATGACAATGTAGAACAAAATGACCAACCTTCAATGGAAAATCCTGAAGAGAACAATGCCAATTAATTGAAATTAATAATCAAAATTGTAGTAAATTACCGTACGTTACCTGAACTTAATAATGCCAAAAGGCTAGCAGAACAATATTTTCAAAATTATTATTTTTATGATCCTTATCAACTAAAGACTATGCATGGTACCTATAACTAAAAAAATTTTTAAATTAGAGTTACCTACTATCGGTGTAAAAAGCCAAGGCCCCTCTTTATAGAGATCGATATCTTCGCAACCGCACGATAAAAAAAATTGCAACAAAGTTTGTTATAATCACTGATCATTTCTACGTAACATATGTTAATTAGAAAATTTTCGGATCCGCGGTTTTCTCGTTACCGCGAGTTAAATGAAGAAAGTACCCGATTTTTTACGGTACCGGCCGTAACTTTGCCAACTTTGCGATTTTTTTTCTCGAAAACTATCGTACGAAAAAATTTGAATTTTGAACAGGTGGTAGCCTAATGTATTCTTAATGAGTGGCATATTTTATTTTTTCGATATTCCATACAGTTTCGCGGAAAATCGCCGTTTAGTAAGACGCCGTTATGTCGAAAACGGCTGGGTGGATTTCCTCGCGGACTTGACTAAAATATGTCAAATAATTGCGTTTATCGGATACCGTTATCAGTTTTTCAAAGTTATGTCTCTCTAATATTTTTAGAGCGATTTAAACGAATTATAAATTAAAAAGAAATAGAAATGAGCTCTGCGGGGAGAGGGGGGTTCCGTCCAATCGGAAAAGATGGTGCGTTCCAGACAGTATTAGAGTTAAAATATAGTACAAAAAAAGAACTTTTAGGAATAGTTTATGCTTTAAAACAAATTCGCAATTTACGATAGTTACAGATCAGAAACCCCTTATTTGGCTTCATAAACTTAAAGATAACAATCTAAAGCTTTATCGATGGAAACTTTATTTATGATTTTTATTATGATTATCAAATTTTGTATAAGAAAGGAAAATTAAATTCAAATACAGATGCGTTAAGTTGAATTGAAATTAATGCAATTAATAATGAGGATGATAATATTTCTTTGGCAGTTCCGATTGATCCAAATGAACATCACAGTGATAGTGATAGCCTTAATAGTAATCAAATTTCAGAACATGAAGAAGTAATTCCTATATCTCAGGATCCAATTGATACTAAATCACGACAACTTTTCTTTTTTATTGTCATAATTTCCGTACTTCAATTGAAATAAGTTTAGAAAACGAAAATTTATACTTTTCATACAAATAAAGATAATGCTTATGAAGAAATTTTTCAAATTTTAAAAGATTATTGTGCAGGAGAACGTCATAACTAAAGGAGTTATATGTCCATATCTTTAATGAAAAACAAAAGAATGTCAAGAATTTAATAAATAATAATGATAAAGACAATGTATAAATAGGCGCATTAATTAATAACATAATTCATTTGTCAATTAGAATCTGTGTCGATCGTTTCAGCGCACTCTTAAACGTATTAATATGTTCAATAAAGTTAATCAAATTCAACTTTCATTTCAAACCAAGCAAAATTAAAAACAAGTTTTTGGTAAGCAAAAACTTAAGTTGTATATTAAATAATTGTTAAAAACATGAAATAAAATCAACGAAATGGTTTAATTTTTGAAATCTAACCACATTATCAAACTACATATACAATTATTAAAAAACAAACGCATATCAATTCGCATCCAATTTGAATTGGATGAAACCGGTTGTGGCGAACATCTGGACGCCAGAGAACTTTCCAAACCTTTCAAAAAATCTCTCTCCGGTCATCTGGGCAGGACACCCTTTTGGTCCAGGCAAAGGTTCCCGGAAAGCTTTCACCGGAGATGTTACTGGACGCTCTCCGTGGCGAACATCTGGACGCCAGAAAGCTTTCGAAACTATTCAGAAGAACTCTCTCCGGCCATCTGGACAGCAGGTCCTTTTGGTCCAGACAAGGACTCCCAGAAAACTTTCACCGGGGATGTTACTGGACTCGGGGATAAAAGGAACCAGGATCGGCCCGGAGAGATCAGTACTGTCTTACCGTTCGCGTTGTAGTTTTGATCGACAACCCTTTTCGAAACGCACTTCTGCACTTTTGTTGTTATTGTTTTTCTTATTGTAAATACAATTTTCTTGTTGAAGACATTTGGTATTAACTATTTTTACTCTTATTATTCTTTAAAAAACATTGTCGTTTTGATAAAAAACTTAAATAACTAAAGACACGTATTTCGTAATGTTACTTAAAATAAGCGAAAATTCAGTAGTCGGCTATGAAATTGTAAGTCAAACTTGACAAATAGGTTATAAAGTTATTTGACGACAAGGTTTTATAACCTATTTGTCAAGTTTGACGTACAATTTCACAGCCGACTACTGAGTTTTCGATGATTTTAAGTAGCATTAACGAAATACGTGTGTGGCAACCACCACAATTATAAATTAAATCATAAATGAATTCATCAAAATATAAATCATAGTAATAAGTTCTTTTTTAACAAAAACTGTAAATCCATAGAGATACAAAAAGTGTTGTTTATTATTATTACAAAATAAAAAGTCAAGTCACGTTGTAACGCAAATTGGTTTTACTCTCTTTTTAAATTGTCCCACAAATTGGTGACCCCGAACAAGAACTAACCCGACATCGAAAAAGAAGTAACCCAACGTTAAGTTATAAGAACCAATAAGAACCCGACGTTTTGGAGAAAGAAGTGAAAGATTTGACGTAAATTAGAATTGTCTTCGTCGTTTTCTTCATCCAATTCTCCCCAACCTCGCACCAGTGACCGAGCCTGCTATTTTTCCACAACGACTTGGTGATACCTATCCAGCGACCATCCACGAGTCTACATCCGGATTTTTAGAGACGAAACCTACATTGCAGGTATTTCGATTTCTGGTAAGGGTTAATAAGTGTTGATCAGCAATATAATTATTTGAACCTAAATAAGTATCCTACCACAATCATGAATACTTCTGGTGATCAAAGCGTTGACATTGTCACCAATATTAGATTGCCTCCCTTCTGGAATGCAAATCCTGCTGCATGGTTTCACCAAATTGAAGCGCAATTCAACCTGTCAAGAATAACTAATGATAAAACAAAATATAATTTGGTAATTACGCATTTACCTACCGAGATAGTTTCGATTGTTTACGACGTCGTAGATGCTCCACCGGATATCGATTCATACTTATACTTAAAAAACACTTTGATCAATAGGCTTTCTCTAAGTGAAGAGAAACGTCTTGATGATCTCCTTTCCGGCTCTCAGATGGGAGATCAAAAACCATCTGATTTCTATAGGAGTATGTTATCGACAGTCGGTGGATCGCAAGTCGTAAGTCCAAATTTATTGCTAAAACTTTGGCAGAGAAGATTGCCCCAAACTATCTCGGTAGCGTTATTGTCTTCAGGTAAAGATGAGATCAATGATTTGCTTAACATAGCCGATAAAATCTGGGATTCATTATCTTTTTCAACGACTCGTTTTCCTAAAATTGAAGTCAACAAAATTAACGACGAGTCCTCTTCCAATGTGCATACAACTTCTCAATTGTTACAAGCCATAAATAACCTTTCAGTTTCTATTGATAAAAACTCACAACAACTTCATCAATGGCAATCAAATATCCAGACGAGCATTAACTCTCTTGCTGCTCGACTTAACGAACCTGACATAGCAACAAATCTTTGCTATAATTGTAAGATGTTAAGGTATCGATCACCTCGTCCAAGAAGTTCTTCCAGGCAACGTCAAAACCATATCTGTTATTATCATTCCAAGTATGGCGATAAAGCACGAAACTGCGAAAAAGAATGTATGTTTTATAATTCCTTTAAAGACACAAATCTTTCATCATCTTCACAGAACCAAAAAAACTGAAACAAGTTTCGCTAGAGAACAACAATTCAATAAATTCAAAACTCGATTCAAAACAATTCAATGAACGACGAACGCACCCGATAATTAATCAAATCAGTTCTCGTCTTTATGTTTACGATAACCAATCCAATTTAAATTTTCTGATTGATACAGGAGCAGACATCTCTGTGCTGCCTTATAAATTCTTTCGTAAACATAAGAGAGATACCATTTCTACATTAACGGCTGCAAATGGTACGCCAATAATTACCTATGGAAAAAAATTGTTAACATTAACATTGCATTTAAGAAGAAATTTTCCACATGTTTTCACAATTGCTGATGTCAACAAACCAATTATTGGCGCTGATTTCTTAAACAAATTCGACATTATCGTCGACATCAAAAATCGTCGTTTAATTGATAATACTACCAAATTATCTTCAATAGGTAGTATCAAAAAATCTTTTATACCAATACCCAAACTCTTCTCTATCGAAACTAAATTCACTTCTCTCGTTAAATCTTTCCCAAAATTAACTTCATCACCTAATTTTTTATCTCCAATTAAACACACAACGCAACATCGAATCATTACAAACACTCACTTGCCGTTTTGTTGTCCAAGACGTTTAGACCCCATAAAATTTTCTATCGTTAAAAAAGAACTTATTACTATGATTTATATTTTCATAGTAATCATATTCATAGTAATATATTTCATAGTCAATTTCATAGCCGACTACTGAATTTTCGCTTATTTTAAGTAACATTACGAAATACGTGTCTTTAGTTATTTAAGTTTTTTATGAAAACGACAATGTTTTTTAAAGAATAATTATTAGAGTAAAAAATGTTTTAGAATTAAATTCCACATGAAATGAGGTAATAATGTATTAAATCCACCAAAAGGTTAAAAAATCTGTCAAAATTTAGCGGACCATCACCCTTAATCAACCCTTTGAAACGCCTCAATTGGTCTCAACTTGCAATTTGGTTTTTCTAGCTTAATGTATTACGAAAATATTCAATATTTTAAAAATTTAAGACCCAACTTTGAAGGCCTATAACTCCTCAGGGGTACAACTTAGTATAGAGATAAGTTGCGTTAAATCAACTTAATTCATTGTCCTCTACATGCCCCTGCTCTGTGTCGGTTCTTATGTGAATCGCCCTGTATATCTTTTTTAAATTTTTTTTCAATTAAAAATTGAAAACTTATATTTAAATTTGTCAACACTTTTCATTTCAACCCTGCTTATTTTTATTTTATTTTCGATTAAGACCAATTATGCCTCCTTATGATGTTTATAAACTTCTTGTTGCCACCTGTGTTTTGTTTACTACGGCCATAACGCGAATGAAAAATAAACATTTTCCATTAAAACTTATTTTTTTACAGTTACATTTATTAAATAAATTCGGGTTGGTTTAGTTAAATAAAAATAGCTCAATAGCCGGTCCACAAAATATGTGGAATATAGAACATTTGCATTAAATAGTTTGTATATCGTTTGGGTATGGACTTACTCATCAAAATCCGCGTACTAATTATTTTATTAAATAAAAGCTTTAAAATAGAATTAAACAAAACAAAAAGTAACAAAAGCTTTTGCGTGTAAAGTACTTAAAACATTTTAAAATGTAACTTTTAAATATCCATTCTTATAAGTTTATAAACATTCGTATAAAAGCACGTCATTTCAATTAAAACGTGTAATATTACTACTCCACCGAACGTAACACACGTTTTACTTACACTTTGTAGGTTTGCTTTAATAACAATTAGTAATTTTGATTGCCAATCGAAAACACTAACCGTTCTAGCGTATCAACTTAAAAAAGTGATATTGATTGAATCCTAACGGGAATTGAAATTTAAAAAAATCTGGGGAATGAATGGGTAAATAAGATGGGTTCTACGTATTACCATCAAGTTAAATATGTTGAGAGAAACTCTCTGACCGCGGGATAGGAAGTTAAAAGACCTTGACAATTGCCACGAATTCATTGCGCAGATTTACCTACAAATTTATTGGAAATTGATGTTCTTTTAGATGAAATTTCATGTCAAGAAAGAGATATAGATGTGACGAAAACTACACAAAACGCTGCATAACCAGAAATTAGGTTATACAACGGTTTATAAAAAGGTCGTCTTCACCTTTACTCGATGAACACTCAGTCATTGTAGATCGTCACTATACCGGGTATCCCATCGGTTGTGCTATTGGCTTTTTTGCCGTCTAAATTTCAAGATAGAAATTCGATATGTATTAAGTCACCCTACTTGGCCAGATGATGCTCATGTCAAATAAAATTTTTATTGCACAGTTTGCGAATAATTTACAAAAATGTTAAAAATGACGAAATTTATGTTTTTTATTCTTTAACGATTCTTATACCATATGATGTGGGAGTCATAGTGAAGTAAATTGACACTAAAAAGTTTGCGATTGATTCATTATTTACGACAAGAATTAAGAAAAATGAAATGTCAGTTAAATTTGTGGTACCGTGAACCGAGATTACTACGAGGTGTGTTACACACTCTCACTAGCAGTGACCGACCAGCTCACTGGTGTGGTGAGGCTTAATTTTGAACTTATTTTATAATTAATATAGGTTTTTAATTTAGTATTAAGGTATCTAAATGAATTTAATCAATTTAACAAAATCTTTTTATTAAAGACATTAAAAGATGTGTTTGCCGTTTTTGCATGAACAAAATTTTTACATAATTTGTAGAAAAGCGAATAATAATGTTAATAACAAAAAAGTTACTAAATGTGTGTATCAGTTAAACACAAAAATGTTTCGGAAATACCTAGAAACAGATTAATAAGGTTGTTTGTCCTGAATAATATTATTTAATTTGTATGCCAAGAGATTGTTTTGTAAATTGTAACAAATGCGTGAAGAAAATAATTAAAAAAAAATATGTTTCCGGGAATTATTTTTTTCTTTTCCTACCTGCGAAGGTGTAATTTTCATTTGCTTTTACTTCTTTGGGTCAGTTTACGTGTGACTTTATGTGAGAGTTGAGATTGAAGTTGTGCAAACCACTCATTGTTCAAAATGCCATTTACGTTTTAGAATAACAAAATAACGGACCTGGTTCTAATTTACGGCGAGGCAAGGCTCAACGCTTGCTTAGCATCACAGATTTATTCGGAAATATTTCCGGCTAGAGTCACACCTGATCGCAGAACATGTCAAAGGCTTGTGGATAGATTTCTTCGTGTGAGGCACGGTGAAAGAAATTGTTTACCAAACAGTACCAACAAAGAGAGAAGATACGCAGCAACGTATTATTGCCGCCTTTGAAGAAATCAATCGACGGCACCAAGAAGATAATGTTCAAAATTCATTTAGATACCGGTTAGAAATATGTTTATTTTAAAATAAGTTCAATATTAAGCCTCACCACGTTAAGAGAAAAAATCATAGACACCAGCGATCTGGTCGCTTGGTTTATTACCCAACCGACAATAAACGAGCGGCTCCTAGTAAGGGTAGTCTCGGTCCACGGTACCATAAATTTAACAGTCATTTCATTTTTCTTAATCTTTGACCGAAATAATGAATAAATCGCAATTTTTTTAGTGTGTATTTACTTTACTAAAACTCCTACATCATACGATATAAGAATCGTTAAAAATAAAACCATAAATTTCGATATTTTTATTCGCAAACCGTGCAATAGAAAATTTATTTGACATGATCACCACCTGGTCAAGTAGAGTGGCTTAATACATATCGAACTTGGAGTTCTATCTTGAAATTTAGATGTCAAAAAAGCCTATACCACAACCAATGGGACATCCTGTATACTAAAACTTCTTTGAACGAAACAAATCGTTAGCGGAAAGATCATACTTTTATAACCTTTGTTGCTGGAAATTAGTCAAAAGCGTCATAAAATGTTATTAATAAACAGAAATTATAAAATATTTACAGCTTTGCATTGATATGAATAGCTAAAACGCCATCATCTCCAACATTAACGATTTTACCAGTACATTGCCCATTAACAAGTTTTCAGCTAATAACGTCGCAATATGTTCCCGCCGGAAGACAACTTTGGATATCTTGATTGATATTTCCACCATTTGTAAAGGCTACAAAAAGACCTTTTCCACCTCTACAAAAAGCAATTTGTTGGGCTGCGTTACTCCACCAGTCGTTTAATTCCGTTCCAACCATGTTATGAATTTGTCTCCTGTGCTCACAAACTCATCCGTTGGAGCAGGTGTCGTCAGAGTTAATTCCTAGCGAGATTATGCTTCCGTTGCCATCAACTGGTGGTCCAGCATCGGTGTCATCAAAAGCAAAGCTGTACATAACTCTTGTTGTTCCAAACGGATGAGCTAACATAAACGTTAAACGTTAAAATGTCTGCTCCTCCAGCACCGTGCCCTCTTTGGTTATCATGGTTATCGATAAAAATAAAGCCAACCCGGTTAATCAAAGAACTTAACTGCTTGTTCCCTGTGAAAACATGTTTACTTGTTTTAACCTTAAATTTAGTTATAGCACCAATATGTATGTCGATAACTTCTTGATAAATATACGGTCTTGTTCCAGAAGAAAACCCATGATCAGTATTTTAAATTATTAACACTTCCCAATATAACTCCTATATCTTCAGGCCTCATATGTTTAGCAGCATCGATTCTAAAACCAGTAACTCCTAAATTTACGAGTTTATTCAAAAAATCAACCATTTTTCCTATGACGTATTCATTTCTCTGATTCAGATCTTTTAATTCGGACAACTTACATTTCTGACACTTTCAGTGTTATTATAATCTGGCATCAACCTGGCATAAATGGCACAATCAGAATTAAAATGAGTGGAATCATATGGAACAGCAGAGTAACATTTTGTTGATGAATCTGCACTATTTCCAGCAGTTCCTGTTTCATGATCCCAATTTCCTGTCATGTGATTTAAGACAACATCAACACAAATTCTAAAAAGAACACAAACTAATAATAAAACTAAAACTTGATTTGTTACCTAACTCCAACTGCGTTACATCTTTTTGTTATATCTGCAAATTCAGATTCTCCACCAGATCTTATACCAAAATTGTAACCGGTCTATTCTCACCATGGTCTATTTTCGCTTACAGGAGATAACTAAAGAATTAAATAAATAAAATTCACTCCAACAGATGCACAATCGTATCCCGATTATCCCACATGTTCGTATTGAATTCACATTGTGCCAATATGGAAAGGGCGAAAATTACAATAAATAAGCGTAACATTACTACATCGATAAGTTTTGTCAAAAATAATTTTTACACCTTTCCTCAACTACCTTCAGTGATATCAAATAAAATCAAGTATCGGATAATCACCACTTCAACTTGATAGAAATATGATGAATAAAATTGTATCAAATGCGAATTTCGTGGAAAACATGAACTCTGACGATATTAACAG